ATAATAATAATAATAATAATTCTTATTCTTAACGATATTCTATTTGTATAGCAATGAAGTAATTTGCAGTTCTGTAAGAAAAAAAAACAAACATACAAAAAAAAAAAACATTGGTTTGTTTTGCGATCACTTCAAAAGGATCTTCTAAAAATAACCAAAACGATGAAGGCTGTAATCTAAAATAATGTAAAATAAATAATTTACAGCACAAACGGCATTCGTCGACACAGATTCGGTTTGGTGATATAACGTGTCGTTCACTCCCCGCTCCACCGGCAATCCCAGCATACACCGCGCCTCATTAGCATAAAACATTCCGGTATCTACAAGAGCCGAGCGAACACAGGCAGCTCCGGAGAGCTACGAACGCGTCTGAATCAAACATAATATTAACGCACAGCGGCGAACATGAGCGACAGCGAGAAACTGGACAAGCAGCGGCTGAAGAACTTCAAGAATAAAGGGCGCGATCTGGAGGTAAAGCCGCGCTGTGACGTCGAGCAGATTTACAGCCGCTTCCCGAGTAATCCTCCGCTCCCGAGAGCTCGTATCGCGCCGCCCGCCAAATGTGCTCGGATTTGAGCCTTCATGCGAGAATGGTGTGGATAAATCAGTCGGATTTGTGATTAAAAAAAGACGTTAGCCGCGCGGCTAGTTAGCCGTGTTAGCCGTTAGCCTCGAGCTAGCGCACGTCGCAGCTCTTCATTAAAGTGTGTGTTTATTAACAGCCATCAGAATGAGCGCTGGGAGACGCTCGGATTGGGCGTGATTAGTGATTCTGGACTCAGTTTGTGTGGTTGTGATGTCCGAGTCCTCGCAGAGCACATCATGCGAGTGTTAGCATGAGCTCTCTGCCGGCCTGCTGAACGATAACATCCTCCAGACGCGCTTCTGCGTCGTGTTTGTGTTCACACGCCTCATACAGGCGCGTTGTAAGCAGTCAGTGTGGTTTCTGGGGTCGGTATGATTGTCTCTTGTGTGAGTGTTAGCAGCGAGCACAAAACAGCGCCCTGGATGCATCACTTCAACTTGTGTTTGAGACTATTGATTGGCTTTCTCATGCATTCAGGTTTGGCTCAATGACCCTAATTGTGGTCTATTTGTAATAGTCTTGCAATACACAGGTGTTCACCAGAGGCCTCTTATCATTTGAAGCTCAATCTAAGTGAAGCAAATTGTATACACAACACAGATTTTTCAGTGTTGATAAATAAGGGCTGGAAACACTGACTGACATTATCAGGTCAAATGATCTCTGTGTAGGTTGGGTGGGTCACTATAGACTTGCATACAGAATTGAGTTGATTGTTTAATCACAGGGCATGTGTGTGTGTAATTAATATTAATTATCATTCTGGTTTCTCCTGTACAGACGATGAGAAGACAGCGGACGGAGGTGGTGGTTGAGCTCAGAAAGGTCAGACCTGTTCACACTTGTTGTGAATGTAAGGGAGTGGACTGACCAGAACGCTTGCTAATACCTGCTGTGTTTCCCGCAGAATAAGAGAGACGAGCACCTGCTGAAGCGGAGGAACGTGCCGCATGAGGATGTCTGTGACGATTCTGACGCGGATGGAGATTTCAGAACTGTAAGGACTCTTCTTTTTATCAGATTATTTCTTAATTTAATGTTTATGCAGTGTTTGAACGGGTGAATTCAGTTTAAAGTAATTACTGTAATTTTTTTTTTTTACAATAGCAAAACACTTCTCTTGAAGCAATAGTGCAGGTAAGTCATGCATTTAAATAAAAATTTAAAATATCACTCTAATGAGTGAATCTCATGAAAATGCCTGACTCTTTCTTCACCTGTAATCAAAAAACAAAAAAATGGGGAATGAAACTGATGCTAGTTTTAGGACCATTATTTATTTCTTTTTAAATATTTCGAGTCTGTGTAACATTATTACATGGGTTGATTCCCTTGAACAGTGTAGTGCTTCAGTTCTGTGGCGCTACAAAACATTTCTTTACTTCCTGAGCCCGAAACAGCAGCATCAAAAATGCAGTAAAAACAGTAATATTGTAAAATGTTAAAATATATAATTTTTCTATTGAGTCTTCAGTGTCACATGATCTTCAGAAACCATTAATATGCTGATTTGCTGCTCAAGAAACATTTCTTATTGATGTTAAAAACTGTTTTTGCTTTTAAAAATGTATATTTACAATTTTTTTAGTTTTAAATAATATTTTGCTCCCAACAGTTATTTAATATTTTTGTCGAAACTTTGGAGTGTTAAAATTAAAGTAACAAATTTCACAGTTACCTGCATGTTGAATAGAAATAGTGTAGAATTTGATTTTTTTCTGATTTGTCTTTTTTTTTCTTTTCTTTTTTAACTACTCAAAATCCTAAGTTTATTTAGATTTTCTAATGTGACCCTTTAACTTCACTTGGTGTGGCTGCTTATCTTTGTGATGTGTGTGAAATGTTAAAGTCTCCGTATATCCAGCTGATAATCTCGAACATTAATCGCAGTAACTTCTTTATACGGAAAGGTGAAAGCAACAAATACAGCTGAACAAACCGTGAGCTTTAATCCACTCAATCTAGCAGCACAACTGAAGAGAGATGGACTGAACTTGTAAAGTATGCGATGCACAGTGCTCTGGAGTTGTGCTTTTCTGAAGACCTTGATCAGCTGCTTCAGGTGTTTAACTGGCCCTTCAGGAGCAGGAGCCTGTTTACACTTGACCACCGTGTTTTCTTGGGTTGGATGGCTGATCGTGAAAAGACCGGGTGTAAATGCTCTTGCATTCGAGACTGATTGCAGTCTGACCTCACAAACCGTTTCAGGAGATGCTTTGAGATGCAACTGGACGATTATAACTGCGTCTGGTTGTTGAAGCCATATATGTAAATTTTACTCCTCACAAAACAGCAAAAATGATTACAGCTAGCTGTGCCATCATAGATGGTTACACACTGACTAAATGAATGATTCTGGATTTCCTCCTTTGACTAAATGCTTAAGACTCATTGACACGGATGTTTCATGAGATTCACTCTAATAGCTGTTGCAAGTGACTTGTACAGGACATGCACGTTTCCCTGTGTATAATGAGACGTGATCATTGTGAATGTTTGTAGAATGCGACCAGTGATAACCAGGGCATTCAGCTCAGCGCCGTTCAGGCCGCCAGGTGCGTAACCGCTCACATTCATCATGATGTTTCATTGTGTGTTTGCTGAAGTATGTGACTGATGGCAGTGAGCACCGATAACCTGTGACACTTCCTGTTGACCTCATCTTGCAGGAAGCTGCTGTCGAGTGACCGCAACCCTCCTATAGACGACCTGATCAAGTCTGGGATTCTGCCCATCCTGGTGCACTGTCTGGATCGAGATGACAAGTAAGACCCGTGTCACATGACTGATTGAGTCGCTCTGTTAGGAGTCTGTGCTAATCTTTTGGTTTTTGTCCCCTCTCTGTTCTGTAGCCCATCTCTGCAGTTTGAGGCGGCCTGGGCTTTGACCAACATCGCGTCGGGCACATCTGAGCAGACTCAGGCCGTGGTGCAGTCGAGTACGTGCACCTGATGCTCTCTGCACTCACGCTCGTTCAGAATCCTAGTTCATGCATTGTAGGACACAAGTGTTTTAGCATCTGTTGTGCTGGATAGAAGTTTTCAGTGCTGCCTTCACTGTTTGAGTTCCTGCACGTGTCTAATAGCAGAAACTGACGGGATCATAAGTCATGGTTGACTAGTCATCTAAAAAAAAAGTCAATCAGGCGATTAGGGTTCAGTTTGACTCATTTAAAGCAGCAACTTCTGAGTGTTTTTTATTTTATTTTTTAACCTACTTATGTGCACTTATCTACTTTGACATTCACATAATTTCCAGCATTTTTGTGGACAGAAAATTACTGCATTTTCACCAGATTAGTACTGAGAATGTTTAGTTTTATTATTATTATTTATTTATATATATATTTTTTTGTATGATTAAGTGCACTCAAACATTTTTTTGTACACAGACCACATACAAATTGCATATCACATTTGCAGTACAATGTTTTTGGCCAAATTGTGCTACTGTTATATTGCAGATTTAGGTTGTCTGGGTTCCGAATAACAATCTGAAAATGGTAACTACAGTTGACCAAAAAGAGAAATATTTAAAATGTTAACACACAAAAAGTTAGTGGTATGTGTCACAGTTAACTATCAGCCAGAGTGTAACTATGTGCAGTCTGTTCACCTGCGTGTCTTATTCTTTATCTGTGTGATTATGTGTAGATGCGGTTCCTCTGTTCCTGCGTCTGCTGCATTCTCCGCATCAGAACGTGTGCGAGCAGGCGGTTTGGGCTTTAGGGAACATCATCGGTAAGTGATTAACACTACGTGAGTGTTACTCTATGTACTGGAGCATTATCATGAGCTGATTATTAAAGATCCAGCTTGTAGGGTCCTATGAAATCAGTTTTATTTTTCCCAAATTCCGTTTTATTTTTTTCCGTTTTAATTTTTTTGGATTGTTGTTTGTTCTGTTTTCCATTATTGTCTAGATTCCATTTTAATGGTTTCATCTCTAAATAATAGATTTTATAAGAAAAAAAATATATATATATTTTATTCTTTTTTCAGAAATACTTTGTGTATTTTTCTGGTAAATATTCCTTAAAAGATAATGTTTTAATAATTGTAATATAAGTAGTACTACCATTACATTAAGTAATATATTTCTGTCACAGTTTCTTCAAGTTAAACCAAACTTTTATTTTGACGGGTTGCTGTTAAGACATTTAAGTTTAAGTAAAATACTCATGAAGTGACTCTCAGAGCAGTTCTAGAGATTGTTTGTTCATGTGCTCATATATTATTGAGGCGGCACGAAACGAAGCTGCACGTCTGCGCCATTAATTCACACAGACACGCATAATTCATATTTAAATAGTATTTAGTCCATATTGCGTTTTGATGTAAGTCCAAAATTTGGCAAATTCCGTGACATTCTGTGTTATACACTAAATTCCATCTTTATGACTGGATTCCGTGCGCGTTCTCCACATCACAGAAATCACAGCCCCATGCATGTAGCATTTTGAGTTTCTGATGGTAGGTCATTGCCACACCATTCATCTCAGCGGTTGTGCTTCTCATCCTGATTGTCATGTGATTCGGCTCATGTTCACACTCATGGTGAAGCGGTTTGTCTGATGTCAAACACGGTGTAAAGCGGCGCTCTGTAGCAGCTGAAGGGGTTGATGGGTGCTCATGTTTCGCTGGTGGTGTTGGGTGTCATGATTAGGAGTGCTGTGTCAGATGAATGATCGCTGTGCTGTTACAGGTGACGGTCCTCAGTGCAGAGATTATGTCATCAGTCTGGGAGTGGTTAAGCCGCTCCTGTCCTTCATCAGCCCCTCCATACCCATCACCTTCCTCCGCAACGTCACTTGGGTCATGGTCAACCTGTGCCGCCACAAGGACCCGCCCCCGCCCATGGAGACCATCCAGGAGGTATGAGAGTGACGCATCTGTGATCATAGAGTGAGCTTGTACCTGAGCGTTAGACAGGCAGGGTTCATACGGGTGCACATATTGTTAAAACGAAGACTAAATCCTGGAGTAGCTTTCTGTAATGTCCGCTTTTACATTATTGAAGAGTGCGCTTTCAAGCCATGTAAAGGGTTAGCCGTAGAGTTTTATTAAGGCAATTAAGTTTGCTTAAAAGGATAATGAAAATTACCCCATAATTTACTCGCCCTCAAGCCATCCTAGGTGTGTATGACTTTCTTCTTTCAGACAACTCCAGTCAGAGTTATACTAAAAAATGTCCTGGCTTATCCAAGCTTTATAATGGCAGTGAATGGGTGATATTTCTCAATAGTCCAAAAGACGTCAAATAAAGCACATCCAACCTTAATAAAAAGGGTCCCACACGGCTCCGGGGGGTGAATAAAGGCCTTCTGTAGCAAGTCAATGCGTTTGTGTAAGAAAAAAATCCATATTTAAAATGTTATAACCAGTAATCTCTAGCTTCCGCTAACTGTTGTACGCGCGTACACAATAGAACGCCGTTCCGGCGGATGACGTGGGATGTAGCGTAAGGTCCGGTGAGAATATGCTAGACTTGTGAGAAAGCAGCAATTACTAATGCAAAATGTTATGAGTAGTGTTTTAAATATAATTTTGAATTTAGAAATATGAAATGCTTTTAAATATGATACTAAAGCCTCCTGTAGGTGGTGGCAAGTGACTGCTTGCTTTTATGAATGGGTCATTGCATCATTCACTCAACAGAGTCATTCAAAAATGCCAATTCATTCATGAGTGAAGACGTTGTGTATTGATCAGAGACGCGCATCGGTATTGCTGTGGTTGTTTTTGAAAGTGTTTTTGTTCGAAACAGAACAGACATTGACAATATTGTTTGAAATTTAATTATCTTCCAGTTTAAGTTGTACAATATCAGAATCAAATTTGCAGTTGTCTTGATAAGCAGGAAAAATAGCACTCTTGTATTTTGGAGGCGTTTATATTTATTTTGGTGATATTTTGCTGTTAATTTCCATCCCTGATCTACATTGACCAGTGACTCTTTTTTTTTTTTATATATATGTTGAACACATTGGCGTAATGTAAGAGTATTACTCGGTCTGTGAACAAAAATGAGTTCAATATCAATCAAAACTCAAGAGTTGAGTATCTCTCTCTGGGTGTTGTATTCATGCGCTCAATGGATGTGTTTGCAGTAACTTATAGTACTGAGCGCTGCAAAGCACACTAAAAGCCTTCATGCAGTCAGTGTAGTGTTTACCTTAGTGTAGTCTACTCTTCAGCACAATGGGAACCGCAAAAACTTCTATATAGCAGACATTCTTATAAATGTCAAACATAACTGGATTAAACACTAGCAGGTCTTTCCCTTCACTAAAAACTCAGTTTATTCTCCTTATCCAGTCCTGTGCAAAGCATGCTGGGAACTAGAAATCTACTACTAAATTCCTGGTTCAAGAATTACTATAACTTTTTTTTTTTTTTTTATAATTTTTTTTAAAGAAAATCCATTAACGCAGAAATTTGAGTTTGCACACAAAATCAGGGTAATGTAATGATCCACACTGTCAACAGAAGTCATCAAAATGTTGGCAACTTAAAAGTTTTAAATATATAAATGAGAATTTTTAACTTGCAGCTATGCATATAAGTTGTGGTAACTGAGTTTAAAGACTCATGCTAATAGTAGGTATAAATGGAGCTGATCTTGTGTGTGTCTTCATACAGATTCTTCCTGCGCTGTGCGTGCTCATCCACCACACTGATGTCAACGTAAGTGCTGCTCTCGCTCCTCGCGTGTAAATGCACCGCTCGGGTGGCAGATGGGTTTAACTGTGTTCTGTGCAGATCCTGGTGGACACGGTCTGGGCGCTGTCCTATCTCACCGACGCTGGCAATGAGCAGATCCAGATGGTCATTGATTCTGGGATCGTACCGTACCTCGTGCCCCTACTGAGCCACCAGGAGGTCAAAGTTCAGGTACGGAAGAGCCTTTGGTATTGATGTCACTTCAGAGACGTGCCCTGCACTCATTTAAGTGTTTAGCGTGATGAGTAGCGCCTCTAATGTTCTGCTTTATGCCTCTAGACGGCAGCTCTGAGAGCGGTGGGGAATATTGTGACGGGAACTGATGAACAGACTCAGGTGGTGCTCAACTGTGACGCTCTGGGTCACTTCCCAGCCCTCCTCACGCACCCCAAAGAGAAGATCAACAAGGTAACAAGTGCCCGTGGTGAATCTCACAACATCCGCAGGTCACATTTCACCCCCAAATCTTTAGGAAATGGCTTTGCTTCAAGTAAATGTAAGAGTGTATTTTTCGTATCGATGAGGGTTTTTAATTACTTCTGGTTACAGTCATAAGTGTTTTGAGGGTTAATTGTATTTTTAACACGCTTAAGCTTGTTTTTAGGGGCCAGTACCATTTTCTTTGTGAAACGTTTGTTGTATTTATTTTGGGGTGAAATGCTGATCTTTGGATGCTCCCAAAAGTAATATCAAGGCATAAATGATGTGCTTTGGTGTTGGATATGATGACAGCTGAGCTGTGGTGCTGGTGTGTGTGACAGCTGAATAGAAACAGTAACATAGTGTTTAGATTAATGTGTATTTTAAAAAGTGTATTTTAGCTCTGTATAGTGTGTGTGTGTGTGTGTGGCTGATGGGTGGGGGTGTCAGAGATCAGTGCTGATACAGGAGTGCATCTGAGGCGGCCGCTCACACCGAGGCTTCTCTGCGGTCTGGCTGATGATTAGAGCCTCAGTATCATCCTCACCCTCAGCCGCCGGCGCCACAATCTCAGCAGGGCCCGTGATCCGTCACACACGCCCTGTGATCTGATCCGACCGCCCGTGTCTCTCTCACAACACTATCAGCTCTGATGCTGAAGTAATGAGTCTGAATGCTTTTGCAGGAGGCTGTGTGGTTCCTGTCCAACATCACAGCAGGAAACCAGCAGCAGGTTCAGGCTGTCATTGATGCCAGTCTAGTGCCCATGATCGTTCTGCTGCTGGATAAGGTGGGTGACCTGAAAACAGTGGCATGTAGAGCTCTTAGAGTGCTAGTAATAGCATATACAGTGTTAATGTAGCGGTAACGGTTTAGTTTTTGCTGTGCTATTAACATGGGTAGAGAATGGTGAATGTTAACTGGTATTGATTTAAATGTTGATGACACTAGTGCTCAATATAACACGACGATGTGTCTCTCAGGGAGATTTTGGCACTCAGAAGGAGGCGGCGTGGGCCATCAGCAACCTAACCATCAGCGGCAGAAAGGAACAGGTGTGTTATACATTCGTACACGTATTATTGCGAGCGTAAAAGAGGGGCTGTGTTCAGATGTTGTGGTCTCGTCCTGTAGGTGGCGTACCTGATCCAGCAGCAGGTGATTCCTCCCTTCTGTAACCTGCTGATTGTCAAAGACGCTCAGGTGGTGCAGGTGGTTCTGGACGGACTCAGTAATATCCTCAAGATGGCTGATGATGAAGCCGAGACTATTTCCAACCTGATCGAGGAGTGTGGAGGTGAGCAGAGGATGAGACGGGTGTAGCTGCTGGCGGGGATGAGAAACACTGCTTTAGTAGACTTATGCATGATGAGCTGTAGTCTAACTTAACTTGAGAACGGCATACCACACTTTAAATTCAGTACAATATATTATCTTACCTGTGTTATCTTATTTGTGCGAAATATTATTTCAAAAATAAAAATATAAAAACTTTAGGACAGGGCTTTGTTCAGTCCATCAGTTGTCGAGTGGATGGAGGCAGTTCTGAAAGTCAGCTTAAGGTCGATTGAAGAAAGAGTTAAATGATTGAAGTTATTCGGTGTACGTCATCAGAGAGAAAGTCAAAAAATTAAACATTTTTAATTTCATGCTGACTTCAAGGTAAAACGTTTTTTTTTTTTAAATAAAATCTAGCCAGATTATTAATTTCAGATGAAAGAAGTCCCGATCTGGTTTAATTAACTTTTTTACCCATTTAAAATGTGTTTTGCTTAATCAAATCAAACAATTTAAAACGGTAGATATTTTTGTAACAGGACTGCAGAATTTAATGCTGTAAACTATAACCTTTATATATATATATATTATATATAACTTTGGTTGAGCACCTTTCACCGATTATTCATTTAGAAAGTCTTAAGCCTCGTTTTTTTTCTCTTATTGTGGCAAGTGTTTTTGAGGATGGCAATCATTTGTTTGCTCAGGTTTGGAGAAAATCGAGCAACTGCAGAACCACGAAAATGAGGACATCTACAAACTGGCTTATGAAATAATCGATCAGTTCTTCTCATCTGATGATGTAAGTTTCTGGATACGTTTCCTTTTTGACATGCATGCTGTAACGGAGCAATAGTGAGAGGAACATTTATATATTTTACTTAGCTGTTAATGTAAACTTTTTTTATTTTTTGCTACCTCTTCAGCGATCCTTCAAGTGATCTTTTCATGAATAGTTAGATCGGTTCTTACAGGCAAATGCAGCTCTCGATGGCGTCGTTCTTTACAACCGTTGGCACATTTCTTTCTTTCAGATTGACGAGGACTCCAACCTGGTTCCCGAAGCGATCCAAGGAGGAACGTACAGCTTCAATTCTTCTACCAACGTGCCAGCAGAAGGGTTCCAGTTCTAGACGCGACGGGAAACCTGGAGTTTTGTTTGTGATGCAGCACTCTGTTCAACATTAAAAATAATTAGAGCGAAAGCGAGCGAGCGAGAGAGAGCGCGAGAGAGTGTGAGAATTATTATATCCGTTGTGCTTGGCTGATGGGATCCAGCTGCATCTGATCCGAGAGAAATTGAGTGGAGCTCCTTCTGAAGGAAGCATCCAAACGGCTTTGAGTGGATGCGAGTGAGAGTGAGTGGCTGACTACTACGTTTCAAAACACGTCCATCTAAACCGAACGCGTGTCTTTTCAACAAAACCAAACCGAACCAATGGGAATAACGAAGACGTCTCACGTGAATAATCTGAGGTAAGAACGCTAAAGGAGAACCTCACCACCAACGCCAACAACAAAGAGACGCGAACACACTTCTGAGGTGGCCTGAGGCGCACGTGTGTGTGTGTGTGTGTGTGTGTTTGAGAGCGTGTGTGTGTGAGTGGCCCCTGAGCTGAGGGGCCGCGTTCATCTGATGTGCTGGAGAACGGACCCAGCAGACCAGAGCCCTCTCTCTGCACTCTAGCGGCACGTCATTGTGCTGCGTGTGCGCAAGTGAATGGACGTGAAGGTGTGTGTGCTTGACTGACTGACTGACTGGTGAAACGCAGGACTGAATGTAACGAACGCAGCAAGTCGACATCGTGTGGAAGGTGACCGATCTGGGAATTCAATGGGAAATTGTGGGATAGCCTGGAAGAGGAGGCTAAATGAATAATAATAAAAATAAAAAAAAAATCACCTTCAATGGAACGACTGGACATCAGTGATCTAAAGAAGACAATGTCATGACTTTAATTTTCCCTTTTAGATATCATTTAGTGTTGATGACACTGGACTGAGCTTTGGGTGTTGCGTCGAGGAGATCGTTGGGGATGTGCATTTTGTCCCAGTGTGCTTTGTTTTTCCCTCCTATTTTTTTCTTTTGGTCTCTCCCCCCCGTTTCAGCTTTTATTTTTCAGTGCTTGTGTAAATACATGTAATACACATTGTGCACTGTTGTACCTTTGCACAAATATGGGCTGTTGTACATTTAGACCTATACCGCTCTGCTTTCACGATGAGTTTCCGCCTTTTCTGTTCTTGGGAATAAATCCAGCTCCATCTGTGGCCCGATGGCTTTGAGCCGTCACGTGATCATGTGAGGAGGTGTTTTATGTGTGAGAGGTTTCAGAAATAGCCTTTTGCATGTTGCGGCATAGTTCATTTTAGTGGGTTTTAGTTTTGTAAGTGTAAGCGGTTTTTTTTCTTTTCTTTATTTTTACAAGTACCTACTGTAATGTTTGTGACTTGTTTTTTTCTGTCCATTTATGCCCCTCACCGTTAATGACCGACAAGCAATTCTCCACCGTTTTGCACGCTGCAGCATTGGAGGAGTGTAAACGATAGCAAGATGGACAAAACTCAAGCTCCTGCTTGTAGTGCAAATACAGAGTCCATCTTTATTTGTAGATATTCGTGTTCAGTGTTGAGCGTGTCTCTGGCGGACTGTGCTGTGCCTTCATCTTAAAGCACGTACAGGTGACGGTATGAAAGCGCTGTTTCTACTATAGGTTTACCATCCTTTTGTTTCTTAATTTTAGTTGACTGTAGAGCTGTCTTTGTTTTGCATAACCTCTTGATGGCTACATTACATTTTATTTACAGCCCACCCTCCCCAACAGCATTCCTTGTTTGCAAATATGTAGTTTCAAAAGAAGAAAAACTAGATGGTATACCTATCCTGTTGGACATAGACTACAGGCTCTGTACCTACTCAAATAAATATTCAAATGTGTCACACTGCTGCCTCTCTGTTGGTGATCTGATCTGAGAGTTTTTAAAGAAGCGTCTGATGGTGGTTTTTAAAATAATTGCTGAAACAAGGAATTGTTTTCCTTCTCAATTTTAATGCTTTTTTAAAAAAATTTTTATGGAGGGCCAAATCTACGAAATAGAATTATATATTAATTATTATAAAAGCATTTGCTTTTCTTTTCCTTTTTTCTGGTCATGAAATCATTCATAATGACTGAGCAGTAGTGTGTAGACAAGCACATCTCATAGACAGAACTTGGAAAACTAAGCAGTAGTTAAGTTTTATATTCATGTTTGAGTCTCATGTCTTTTCAAAGATTTGATGCCACAAGCTCCACACCTGGATCTTTTCCATCGCTGATATCTGAAACTGAACAACACTCACAGGATGCCAGGAATATAGGTGTGTTTATGTAGTACTATAGAATTTAATTGAATTTACTGTAGAAAAGTATACATATTTAGGCCAGTGGTGTTTAGTGTTATAGGAGTGTATTAGGGCAGCATTATGATGTCCATGCACGTGTTTTCTTCCTCCTTGGCCTAATCTTTTTGCGAGCCTAACTTAACTGAAAATTTCATCCAACTTTACAGATTTGGATTGCCGTTTTAATAGTGTAAACTTTTGATCCGGATGTTTTTGTCTGATCATGGTCCCTTTAACCTGTTCTTCTATCTTACCTTGTGTATATATAAAAAAAAAAAGTGGCATTTCTTATATTTTCTCTGGCTGAGCACCTATTTTACTCTCAGGTTATTCTTATCATCTCCACATTTCTTTATGAATGCAGCAGCTTGTTAGGTTTAGTTGATGTTTTGTATCTGGTTCAGTGTGATCTGAGTTTAGTGGGTTTATAGATCTTCTGTAGCTCCACCTCTTCTCAGCGCTGCGCTCGTCATGAAACTTAAAACAATTTAACATCAATTTATTTATTAAAAAACAAAAATTACATGTTTAGGGACCTATGAAGTGTTTTTTTTTTTTTTTTCCAACCTTATGTTTTGTTACCAAATTCTGATTTAGCAGGTCTAATTATTTGAAAGTATAAAAACAAGTTTAATTTATTCTTACAATAGAATTTCTGAGCAAAAAAAATCATAAGGCTGTGTTGTGCATAAAACATTCATTTAATCTTTCTTTGAAGTAATGAAAATTAAACCAATTTTGTTTTTTGGAAAATAAAGGTAATTTAATATTACAATTAAAATATTGAAGAAATATTGTATGATTATTCCTTCATCTTAAAGCACGTACAGGTGACGGTATGAAAGCGCTGTTTCTACTATAGGTTTACCATCCTTTTGTTTCTTAATTTTAGTTGACTGTAGAGCTGTCTTTGTTTTGCATAACCTCTTGATGGCTACATTACATTTTATTTACAGCCCACCCTCCCCAACAGCATTCCTTGTTTGCAAATATGTAGTTTCAAAAGAAGAAAAACTAGATGGTATACCTATCCTGTTGGACATAGACTACAGGCTCTGTACCTACTCAAATAAATATTCAAATGTGTCACACTGCTGCCTCTCTGTTGGTGATCTGATCTGAGAGTTTTTAAAGAAGCGTCTGATGGTGGTTTTTAAAATAATTGCTGAAACAAGGAATTGTTTTCCTTCTCAATTTTAATGCTTTTTTAAAAAAATTTTTATGGAGGGCCAAATCTACGAAATAGAATTATATATTAATTATTATAAAAGCATTTGCTTTTCTTTTCCTTTTTTCTGGTCATGAAATCATTCATAATGACTGAGCAGTAGTGTGTAGACAAGCACATCTCATAGACAGAACTTGGAAAACTAAGCAGTAGTTAAGTTTTATATTCATGTTTGAGTCTCATGTCTTTTCAAAGATTTGATGCCACAAGCTCCACACCTGGATCTTTTCCATCGCTGATATCTGAAACTGAACAACACTCACAGGATGCCAGGAATATAGGTGTGTTTATGTAGTACTATAGAATTTAATTGAATTTACTGTAGAAAAGTATACATATTTAGGCCAGTGGTGTTTAGTGTTATAGGAGTGTATTAGGGCAGCATTATGATGTCCATGCACGTGTTTTCTTCCTCCTTGGCCTAATCTTTTTGCGAGCCTAACTTAACTGAAAATTTCATCCAACTTTACAGATTTGGATTGCCGTTTTAATAGTGTAAACTTTTGATCCGGATGTTTTTGTCTGATCATGGTCCCTTTAACCTGTTCTTCTATCTTACCTTGTGTATATATAAAAAAAAAAAGTGGCATTTCTTATATTTTCTCTGGCTGAGCACCTATTTTACTCTCAGGTTATTCTTATCATCTCCACATTTCTTTATGAATGCAGCAGCTTGTTAGGTTTAGTTGATGTTTTGTATCTGGTTCAGTGTGATCTGAGTTTAGTGGGTTTATAGATCTTCTGTAGCTCCACCTCTTCTCAGCGCTGCGCTCGGTGTCTTCTGTCTTCCGTTTGTATTTCCATAGCATAAAGGCAAGGCAAGGCAAGTTTATTTGTATAGCACATTTCATACACAATGGTAATTCAAAGTGCTTTACTTGTCTTCTGTCTTCCGTTTGTATTTCCATAGCATAAAGGTAAGGCTGTACAAATTTATGAATGAACCGCTCTTTTTAAGGTAGTAGCCTGTTACGTGCATTCTACTCAACAATAGTAATATTTCTGCCCAATGCCTTCAAGTTAAACCAAACTTTTATTTTGACGGGTTGCATGAATACCTTTACATTTCTGTGTGTATATGATACGATGCTAGCTTTACTCAAATGAAACAGTCAAATACTCATGAAGTGACTCTCATAATGTAATGGCAGGGGAAACACTGTCTACATTGATAATATAATACAATTCGATATAAATATCCCACATTTCTGGCACAATACTATGGTGCAGTTTTACTACAGTGAAGCCATGGTAAATCATCAGGTTTTGTAGATTGAAACGCTTTCTGACTGAGGCAAGTTTATTTGTATAGCACATTTCATACACAATGGTAATTCGAAGTGCTTTACATAAAAGAAAAGAAAAATAATAATCACAACAATAAAACAAGGAATTTAAAAACATTGAAAATGATTAAAACAATTGATTTAAGAAGTTTAAAATGAATTTAAGAAAACGATTATACATAGAATATAGTGCAATCAGTTCGGACATCGCACAGTGCTCATTCAATGAATGCACAGCTAAACAGATGAGTTTTGAGTCTGCATTTAAAGGTAAGGCTGTACAAATTTATGAATGAACCGCTCTTTTTAAAATCTTTCCAGTCTACTGACATTCGTTACGACGTCCACTTTGAACATTAGAATGGATATGATAACTTTCGTTAACTCTACAATAAGTAAATCCACTTCACCAGTCAAATACTCATGAAGTGACTCTCATAATGTAATGGCAGGGGAAACACTGTCTACATTGATAATATAATACAATTCGATATAAATATCCCACATTTCTGGCACAATACTATGGTGCAGTTTTACTACAGTGAAGCCATCTTAAATGGGTGGTTGATTGTGATTTCACTTTTTTTAATGTTAGTGTGTAATGTTGCTGTTTGAGCATAAACGATATCTGTGAAGTTACGAAGCTGAGAGTTCAATGCAAACGGAGATATCGTCTTTTAAAATTCTGGCAGTTTAATGCCTACAAAAATGGCTGGTAAGGACTACAACGAGTTACTTCCCGGGTTCATGACATGCTAAACCCCGCCCTCGGGAAGATGCAGCAAAGGGGGCGAGGCCATGCTGCGCTGCTTTAAAGAAGAGAAAAGTAGAGATGCACATAAAAATCTAAGTAGAGAGACCAAGTATACGCGAAAGAGAGCGCCCAAAACTTTGCGTGAAAGAGAGTGACAGTGTGCAAGAGAGACTGAAACTTTGCGCGAGTGTGAGTTCTGTGAGAACTTGTTCTGTGGTGTACAATGCAACCACAGAGAGCGACAGTGTGTGAGAGAGACCGAGTGCGTGCAAAAGAAAGCGACAGTGCATGATAGAGATCAAAACGGTGTGCGAAAGATAGCGACAGTGCGTGAGGGAGACCGAGTGCGTGCGAATGCGCGACAGTGCGCGAGCGAGACCAAAACTATGCGCGAAAGAGAGTGACGGTGTGCGAGAGAGCGCGAGTGTGAGTTCTGTGAGAACTTGTTCTGTGGTGTACAATGCAACCACAGAGAGCGACAGTGTGTGAGAGAGACCGAGTGCGTGCAAAAGAGAGCGACAGTGCATGAGAGACCGAGTGTGTGAGAGAGACCGAAAATGAAGGCTACATTAAATACTAAAAGTCTGAGAGACCGAGTGCGCGAGAGAGACCGAGTGTCTGACAGAAAGCGACAGTGCGCGAGAGAGACCGAGTGTCTGACAGAAAGCGACAGTGCGCGAGAGAGACCGAGTGTCTGACAGAAAGCGACAGTGCGCGAGAGAGACCGAGTGTCTGACAGAAAGCGACAGTGCGCGAGAGAGACCGAGTGTCTGACAGAAAGCGACAGTGCGCGAGAGAGACCGAGTGTCTGACAGAAAGCGACAGTGCGCGAGAGAGACCGAGTGTCTGACAGAAAGCGACAACCACAGAGAGCGACAGTGTGTGAGAGAGACCGAGTGCGTGCAAAAGAGAGCGACAGTGCATGAGAGACCGAGTGTGTGAGAGAGACCGAAAATGAAGGCTACATTAAATACTAAAAGTCTGAGAGACCGAGTGCGCGAGAGAGACCGAGTGTCTGACAGAAAGCGACAGTGCGCGAGAGAGACCGAGTGTCTGACAGAAAGCGACAGTGCGCGAGAGAGACCGAGTGTCTGACAGAAAGCGACAGTGCGCGAGAGAGACCGAGTGTCTGACAGAAAGTGTCAAAAAGAGAAAGAGAGCGACCATACGCGAGAGAGGCCGAAACTTTGCGTGAAAGAGAGCGACATTGTGTGAGAGAGCGTGAGTGAGTTGTTCTGTGAGAACTTGTTCTGTGGTGTAGAATGCAACACTATTATCCTGCGAATTCCAAGATGTTTAAGGAACATTTTATATTAAATTATATGATTT